TAAAGAGATGAGTTCACAGTCTCTACTCCTGTTTCGTATGAGAGAATCACTACTTTCTCAAAGTACCAGCTTCAAAGATTCAAACCAGTAATGCTGCAGCAAATTAACACAACCAACTGAGCAGAATAGCTGGCTTTAAAATACATCTTAACTAAAGAGAATACACAGCTTCACAAGCACAGCTTTTGAAGCCAGAATGCTGGAGCCTAGAACTACAAATTTCACATTCTTTGAAAGAACAAAGAATCACCCAAAGATGGGAGGACGTTTTTGTGACAAACAAGATCCAAAATGAGTTGCTGGTTCTGTAATTTTTTGGTGGCTATTTTTGCGAATACTCAGCACCTGTAACATGCATCCCCACTTCGGCACCTCATGAATGATCACTTGTCAGTACTCTTTCAGCAGGACTCTTGCAGATCTTGCTGCTTCCCACCATCCTGCGGCTGGGCCACCCCGCTGACTGCAAGGAGCTGTGGCTTCAGCTGTCGCATTTATTCCTGGCAAACTCTTCTTTCCTACCGTGGTTACTCGCTCTGACAAGGATCAGTCAATGTATTTTATTTTTTCTTTTTAAAAAAGATGCTGTTTGTCATTCCTGGAGGAAAATGAATTTTACTGCTGTAAGCTTCAGGCTCATCTAATTACAATACCAGCCTTCAGGGAATTTTTAAACTAATGACATTGTATTTGTCAAGCACAGAAACTTTTAATCTGATTTTCAAGAGGATCCTAGCCAATGGATCCTGGCCATCGTAGCACTTAAGAGAACACATTTGACTGTCCTCCATGCAATATTTAGGTGGGCTTATTATGTAAATGTTAATTGTTGTTACCTCGTATCTTTCTGCTGTGGTCAATACAAGGCATATAGGCATATTGACAATGTTATTAAAGTTTTTATGACTAGAAGTCCACAAATCAGACTGTGTGTGTCCCTGTGCAGCTTCTCAGAGGAACAGAGGCATGCCCCTTAAGAAATCGGAACCAAATCACCTAAACTATCTGAACAATTCTGCGGTTTTCCTCCTCATTTTGTGATTTGTTGTACACCAGCATCAAGAACCACCAGCTCAACGATTCCACTATATATTTCACTGTTCAATTTTAACATTCTTTTCTTTATTACCAAGGGCTAATAATTCCCAGACAATTCCCAGATAATTTCCACTGCTGATACAAAGAACAAAACCCAAAATATTAATTATGTCACGACAACTCCCTCCACTCCTTACCTGCTCCCAAAGCAAATAGCTCAGACCACCAAGCATCCACTTTTGGGTACTTCCCTAATATTTCTAAAGGGCAAACAGTGCACTACTTTGACCACTGACTTCGGCTTGACCATACTGATCAGGTCTTTTGGACAAATAATGCCAAATTCACATTTCCATTTCAAATTCATTTCAATTATAATCGCTTCTCCAGAACACATACATGCTACAATTGTGCCACATAGAAAAGTGTAAGAAAAGAACCTTTTTCATATGCTTATTTATTTTTATTTCTCAAAAATTATTTTTAAATAAAGAGAGATAAATTCATTTTTATCTTTCAAAACTATTATTTAAGAAAATGCCATTTTCTGTTTTTTCAGAATCACATACTTCAGGACAAAGGTACAAAACAAATCAGTAAATACAAGTGCTGTCGTCCATTCAACAACGTTTGTATCAACATACCAGTCCTCCTCAATCATAAAAATACACATACAGTTGTGACTCAAAACTGCGTAAACGTAACATGACGCAAGCAATCCGGAGTCAGAACCATCCACACCCCAACAAGGCTCAGCCACAGCCACTGAAATGTTCTCCCCAGTATCACGGGGAAAATCAACAGCTCTGCGCAAGTAAGACAGGAAGATATGAAGGCTACAACTAGCCATTTGCCTTGACATCTGAGCTCATACATCCCGTCAGCAGAGCTTTGGAAGCCTAACATCAACTTGATCAAAACAAATAACAGGATTCCTAGGTGCTGGAGGGGACGACGGAAACACTTGTTGTGCACTTGTAACACGAGCGACTGCATCTCGAATTAAGAGTCCAGGGCTTGTACCTCCCATGAGAATTCACGACCTGGCTGCAGTCTTTTAATATGAAAACTCGGAAGTTTCACCAAGATGCTCAGAAGAGAGCACTCTTCTTTGCTACTTAGCTTAGCAGCTATATTTCTCCAAAGCAAATAACACTTGGAAAGTTTTCCTTAAGCTCTTCTACAAGTACCACAGTATTTCAGCAGAAAATTTCTCCTCGCCTTACCTCAATCCCAGGAGGTAGGCCCAATTCCATTACAAGCTGGATTCCCACAAAATGGAAACTGTCAGTCCCGGTACCTTTCAGCCTCCACGCCCAGATCACTTGCAAACACACAGCGTGCTCTAGACCTCAAAAAGCTATCAGCACCTGGCAGCGGCAGGCAAGCTTTGAGGACAAAGGTTCCTGATCCCACCCCATGAAGACGTGCCCTTGCAGCACATGCCCACGCTACACAAAGCTTTATCATCACTTTTGCTCTGGCCAGAGAAAAAGATGTTTTCTACCTCTTCTTTAACATCACTGGTGCTCCAACTGGCCATGAACAAGCTGCCACAGAGGCCTGATATCATTATCCATATAAATAGTGCACAGTTTTCTTCAATTTCAGTGGAAATGAGGTGGAACTTTTCCTAGACACTAAACTCAAATACCAATTTATAATAATGATAGTTAATCACGTTCTTCTCACCCTGCGAGGGCCCTGGTATGGTTAGACAAACACCTCATATAGGGTCATTAGCTTCAGAGTGCTAACACACAGGCTTCCACGCACACAGGAGTTTGTCTCCTTTCCTTTTACGCTGGAGGAGGACTTCTATAGGAAACATTCAAGTCACTTGTCCATTGCCTTTCCCTTATTTTTAAGCCCTGAAACACCACATGACAATTCACTGTGTTTTATTCACCAGTGGTTCCATCTGACGGGCACTGAAGTTAATGCTCTGCCTGCTGGTGAGCACCTTCACTCCAGCCTTTCCCCTGCACAACATAACCAAAAGGTCAGCGATGGGCAGAGTGAGCAGGCCAGGCACGATGACACCCCGACACCATCAACATCACCAGGCTCAGCCACGCTGAGCATCCCATCCTGTGAAAGGCAGCACCATTGGCTATGCTCTTGAACAGAAGCTTTGGGCATGGTAATTAACTTTAAACACACGTTTACATCTCATTTTCAACAATTAAGTACCGATACCCAGATAGGTGTTTTGTCACTATCTCCCTTATGTCAGTACCTGGTAGTCAATGGAATAAATGCAATACCCTAAGCATCCTGTTTCTGTCTGACAAAAGGAGAGTTTTTAGAAAAAAAAAAATAAAAAATGCTGAGTCGGACTAAAAAAAGATAAAATGGAAAACAAATTATATTTAATTATTCAAGAATGCAATAAGCAGATTCAGTCCCAGACTCAGGAAGTCCCCTGTTTTACAGCATACTGGAGCCTGATCTGCAGTTTGAGTAACAGTGGCCCACAAAGAAAACAAAAAAGCCTATTAATTTTTTCAATTAGGCATTACTATTTAATCTTATAAAGTGGGAAAAAGGAAATTTATTCCATTTCTTCTCGGGAAATCTGACAAACCAGTACATTGTTCTGGCTGGCAGCCACTGTAACATCACAAGGTTTCTTAAAGGCGTAACACTGTGAATTTAACAGGTTTGAAAAAACACAGCAAGTGTAAAGCAAATAGAAGTGCCCATTAGCTAAATTGCCTTTAAAAATAAATAGCAAGATAGCAAAGACAGTCTTTAAGGGAGGCTGAGGGTCCTCGTGGGGAGATGTGAGCACTCCACGCCAAGCCAGCAGGACCGAGCTATGCCACAAGTTTGCCTTTACAGGCAGCCTCCTCCTGGTGCCAAAGCAAGGTGAATCGAGCGCTTTCCAGCCACAATTCTCTGGAGTTAAACTGCTACTAAGCATGACATCAAAATGGTGCCTCTGAACTTTGTGCAATCTCAGAGTCCATTTTACGGTGTGCTAAGTTTAAATTCCAGCATCCGACACAAACAGGGATGGATATCTACATCGATACACACGTGCAGGACAGCACCTGACATGCTCTGAGCTATCTCCAGCTGACATGAGAGGATTTTTGGGGAGCGGTGGTGACAGAAAGGAAGCGTTGGGTTTGCTCCTTTTGGATGCTGATACTGACATCATACCTCGGGGCTGATGCTGCAACCACGCCAGCAGAGGACTTTTCCAAAGGAGTCTAACAGCTGGGGAAACTGGGCATCTGCATATTGTTAGAAGGTGTGTGTTGTGTGGTTTGGTTTTTTTTTTAATCCATCCCCAACACAGATTTCTTAGCGCTGTGAATAATTTCTACTGAAGTAGACTGGTGTGACTTTCTTTTCCTGATGCAATGTAATGGCTGGGGAGGAAAGGAGCTAGAAGAGAAGTTTCGGAGCAGGCAGGAGGCCGCCCTGGCTGGCTGTGAGGGAAGCAAGCGAAAGCTGCTGCCGGGGCTCGGGCACGGGAGGCGCTGGGGGCTGCATCTCCCGCAAACGCAGTGCGGGGACTTGTGCACAGAGCATCCCAGCAAGGAAAGGAGGATGGTATAAATACACTGCGCGCTCCTGCCATCTATTCGCTAGCAAACCAAGAAAGATTAAATTATGTAACTATCACTGTCTACATGCAACACACACACACACACCCAGATCTTGGTACCACACGGCCTAGGAACGATTTTTATTTTCCATCCAGATAACCCTCCCGCTCTGCACCGACTCGAGCACGGAGAGGTTAGGAGACAAAACCGGCGTGCTAAGGGAGCATCTCCCCGCTACCACAGCAGCAAGCCGCAGGAGGGGAGCTCCAGGAGCCCCCCTCCCCGCCGCCACCGCGCCTCGCACACGGCTCTGAGACCCCCGGGGCCGAGCGCGGAGCCGCCGCAGAGCCCCCCCAGAACCCCCCCCCCCGGGCCCGGCCCCCTCCTCTCCTCTCCTCTCACCTCGCCTCCCCTCAGCGCACTGCGGCGGGCTCCGGCGGAGGGCGGCGGCCGGACCCCCCCGTCCTTGCGGCAGCGGCGGCGGCGGCGGCCCCCGGGCGCCCGCGGCGGGGCGAGCGCCTCCCCTCAGCGCCGGGGCCGCGGCCCGGCCCCCGCCCCCGACAGCGCCACCGGGCCCGGGCCGCAGCCCCGCGGGGCCTGGGCGGCGCCGGGGCCGGGGGGAGGCCGCGGAGGAAGGCGGCCGCCCCCGCCGCCACACGGCCCCGGCCCCCGGTACGCGCCTGGGGGAGCTCCCCCTGAGCTGCAGCCGCTCCAAAATGCCCGTTTCCGCGTTATTCTTTAATTATTTTTTTCCGAATTCACTCACGGTTCTCAGCGCTGTTATCCGTGTCATCCGGGCGCAGCAGAGCCGTCCTTTCCCATTTCCTCAGTGTTCAGTGATCCTGGCTGTTGCAGGCGGCTCTGCGTCCCCCACTTACTCGCCCGTTTGCCTCGGTCTTTGTCCCCGAGTGTCTGCGTGGGGAAGCGCGGCCACAGGCGCCTGAATGCAAGGGAAACTCAAACCCCGCGCTGCAGCAGCAGAGGAGCGGCGATGTGCCACCCGCCGCCGCAGCGCAGCCCAACAAAAGCAGGAGCAAGGGGCGCACACACAGCCGGTCCTGGCTGACCCAGGTCCTGGTTGCTGTTACTGAGCCGACACCTCACGCTCTGCTGTCTGGTCTGAGTTTTATAAAGGCAAAGTCTTCCCACAAGCAAGGAGCACGGCAGTCCTAACTATATTCCGTACTCTACAGCTGTTTTCTGTATCAAGCATCAGCCAATACATGGCCAACTAAATAGGTCGCTTTAGAAACTATTTCATGAGAATAACCAGCTGGAAACTGTGTGAATGTATATCCAAATACTAAGTCGGTTTTGTACAGCTTGTAGCGTATTCCCAAATCCCTGGCCTTGAAATCCTTTCTCTATGGAAGCCCACGGCACATCTGCCTTGGGCTTCAACAGCGCAAGGGAATTTGTTCTTCAGCTCTTCTGCACGACGCGAGACGAACTGCTCCAGATCTGGGCGTATGCGGCTCTGTTCCAAAGTAGGTCAAGCCATGACAGTCATCAACATCCTTCCATCTACCTAAAACCTTTACACTTTCTTTCAGTTGCTTCCTGTGCACATGTATTGGTGCTTACAGCATAGCTTACATACGCTGAGGGTGCAAATGGTCATTGCGACTGATGAGTCTGGCCCTTTATACTGAAGAATACCGTACTATTGCAATATATCTGTTTAGATTTACATTAAAGGCTCGGATTCAGATGATTATGTACAGGTTAGTAGCGATTTGGGTGTTGTCAAATACATCTCTCTCTTTGGTGGTAGCTTCACTTGGTACGGATAACATAGTGCCTATTTTACTTCCTGAAACAAGATCAAAGGGGGAAAAAAGAATGTGTGATGCCAAGAATTTCATAACATTTATAGTTATTTGTGCTTTGTTTTTGGTTATCATGACATTTTTATAATGAGGAGATGAGAAACTGAGAAGATGAAAACCGTTAGCTAATGAATTATTCTCAGTGGATTTGCAGGCTGTAAAAGCCCTTTGACGGTGTGACACAAGTGCAGGCTGTCTTTAAGTTAAGACTTCTCATCTGTCAAATGAAAAAAACTGCATAAATCAGACACTGGATTTTCACGTTTCTCTCCCTCAAAAAGGATTTTAAGAATGTCCTTGCGCCTGTGCTTGAAAAAAAAAATCCTATTTCCACTGAGCAAAAGTGTTAATTTATATGAACCTATAAAATCCCCTCAACTTCCCCAAACATAAAAGGCAGCAATCACAACAGTAGTAAAACACAAGGTATTTGTAGAAATTCAGCACTACTACTTTTCAGAAACTACAAAGCTGTCAATTTCTCTGCTTATATTTCTGCTAAATGTGTATTTCATGCTACACATACAGTTCTTTATGAACAGTTCCCATGTCTTTGGTATGGTTTGGGATTATTTTCAATTTTCCTAGACATGGCTGTTACTGAATGGAGTTGAGTGCACAGTAGAATACAAAGCCACTTCATAAAGAAATTGCTATTTCTCTTGTCTCCATGGATGCTCATACATCTACAGGCGCTGTGCTGCTAAGGAAGAGGCTAACTTTTCAGAGCCACGTGCTGAGGAAATGAGTAGTTAACCTTCAATAGACTCAAAGATGGAGACAAACAGCCTGCTTTTCTGTAGCAAACATTTTTTCCCCTCTTTCTGACTCTAGGGCTCTTTTTTCCCTTGCCTGGATCCACATCCTCTCCTTTGCTGAAAATAAAATACAAAAGAAACCAGTGACAGAAATATGAAATCAACTTGGCCGAAGTGGGGATTCCTACTGTGTCTCCTAGGGCTCTAAAAATGTTCTGTATCAGAGACCTGAAGTGTGCAATGCATGGGAGGACATTTCTGGGCTGAGGAATACCTGTTTAAAGTTACAAAGTGTCTTAGACAGAGCTTTTACTGGATGAAAGTTACAAACATTCTTCTACTCTCCTGTCAAAATAGCAGAAACTGTACTAGAAGATTAAAACTTTCAAAGAATGTTTGTGCTACTTGTTCTTGGAAATGATTTCACTGGAGAAAAAACAAGTTTCAGTCATCCCACAAAATGGTTTAGTAAGAAAACTGCAAAACTATGAATTCTAAAAATCTTTTACCATGAAAAATAAATTGGACATCCAAAACTTCCAGTTACTGCCCTTGCAGTTCTGCCTGCGATAAGAACCTACAACACACAGGCATGAGAATGCACCCTCTACAAAAGGGATTTTCAGCTGCTCTAACTTTGGACACTGGTGACTTAGTGTTAAAAGGCAAGAAATGCAGTTCTATATTATATGAAATTTCTCACTTTCCCAGCAATTCAGTTATCTGAAAGACAACAGGCCAAGCTGAATACCCAAAATAAGAGTTTCTTTGTCATGACGATTTAAAAGCCAAACAAAATGCTAAGAAGACCTACTGGAAGACCATTCACATGGGATGGAAATGCGATGTTTCACGGGACTTCTGGACAGATTACTGTGCAGCAGGTGGAAATATTAATTGAAAGAATCACCCTAGGTGCCAAAATCTGCAGGACACGTTCTCTGGGCTGTCCTGCCTCCTTTGTGCTGCACAAAAGGCTTAATGAGAGTGAAAACCATCTGCAGCCCCCAGCTGGGGATTTGTGTGCTGTAGAGGAGTCCCTAAGTGATTCCCTGCAACCTGCACAGCGAGGCAAGGCATGCCTGGGCTTCGCTGCCCCTTGGGCCCTTGGGAGCTGCCACCATCTGGTATTGCCTAATGCCAGGGCAGGCATGCATCCAGCCAGGGAGCCAAGGGGCTTCACAGAAGCTCCGCACCCTTTTAGTGTGCAGAGAAGAAACTCAGCACGCTGGGCCACCTGGTTAGAGAGCTGATCTGCAGAGCCTCATCTGGTAAAACTCCCAGAGACATACCTCTGAGCACCTATCTGCACTGGCCTGCTGCCACTGGTCATATAGGAACGTTAGTTAGCACATGAAGCAAATGAAAACATGGCCAAGTTTGGCTTTAGAAAAAATTAAACTGCCAGTGGGAAGTTGTATATTAATTACAAATACTAAAGCACTCGTCTCCTACCAATAACATTTTATGAAATTATGGAAATAGTTCTTAGGTACAGAAATTAAATCTGCTGCAGTTCCTAATGCTTCCAGATAGTTGCTGAAATGTGCATAAAGATCACCGAATTGTGGTTAAAATTACGATGATAAAAGCAATTGTCAGCTTCTGTTGGTACTTGCAGAGATTTAATTTTAGAACTGTACCCTTAGGCAAGTAATATGGAATTAGATCCATACACACTGCATCCAAAGTCATACTGAAATGTCACTTGTAAAACACACCTTCACGATCTTGCTATCTGATGTATAAATGTGCCTGTCAAATCTGCAGAGAAAGCCATCAGTACTTGTAGGCTGTGGTGAGGTGGTATGGATACACTATCAATAGATCGTGCTTTTGTAAAAATCAGGAAGCTTCTACAACTGAAGAAAATGAACACGTTGTTCTTTTGGAATATTCCTGCTGAAGCAAGTGGAAGGAGTCTGTGGGGAAACAGTCTGACATCATGCTGAGAGGACGAATGGTGTGAAGATTGTGATGATACGGAGACATTAGCAAGGCTGAAAAGTGGATCACAGATCTGTATCAGAGCCCTAGAGAATTTGAAGATTCATGCTGACAGTAGTGGGACAATTCCTGATTTTCCACAGTGAAGGGAAAAGAAAAAGGCTGGAGCAGGTGGCACAGAACTGCCACATCACTGATACCACTAGGAATCACATCCCAGAAAATTAACCTGGTGCCCCTCTTCACGTTAGTTTATACCTCTCTGGACAGTAACAATGATTATTTGAATTACACATTTGGCCAATAATTTGACTAAAATCCTCAAACGATCTCTTTTAGGAGTTTTACTCCTCCCCACAACAGCAACAAGTACCATGCAGATGCATTTAGTAAGCAAATAAATCAGGTATTAAGTGGGCAAGCTATACTAGCAATGAATTTTCTTTAAATGATTTAGAGAAAGCAGGCTTTTCTTTGGCAACTAGGCAGCAGGTTACCCTAGTGACATTAATTCCTTTTGCATCCTACGCAGTCTTGAACGTGAAATTAGCAGAGCTGGAAAATGCCCCTGCAGCCGGGGCAGAAATAACGCACTTCTTACTGGAAGTGGAAGCTTCTCATCGGGAGACACTTGTGCTTCACTGCTCTTTGTCAAGCAGGGTAATGTGAATATACATTTCACTAACAGGCATGATCAGCAACAGAAACTCAGCAGATCACAGAGTGAGACAGAGCTGTCAAACACTTAAGCCACATCTATTCTGCACAGAATGTACAAACATTAATGCCAGAAAAATAAAGCCACTCTGAAAGCCCGAAGAATCAACAAAGAAGCTTTTTGCCCATGCCTAATCCAGCTAAGCCTTCTTAAAGTGCCATTGAAAACAGATACTTGAAATGACTTCCATCTAAAATAGCATTTTTTCCCCATTGTAGCCTCTTCCATTTAAGAAAGACTATAAGTTTACATTTAAGAATCCACAGTTGTCCAAAACACAAATAGTGAGACT